GGGGGGGGGGGGGGGGTGAATGTATACAGCCACAATTTAGTAGGGGTGCGGGGGGGTGGGTGCCAAAACACTGCTGTAGACAGATGCATAAATAGGTAGACATTGCTGTTGGAGAGCCAGTTTTGTGTAGTGGCTAAGGGGCTGGGCTGGGAACAGGAGACACTGAGTTCTAGTCCTCCTTAAGCATGAAAGCCCGTTGGGTGACTTGGGGTCTTTCACCCTCTCTCAGCCCAGCTCACTTCACAGGGTGGTGGTTGTGGGGAGAACAGGAGGTGGGAGCATTAGGGACATAGGGCCCCTTGACTTGACCAGAAATAAGGATGGGATGAAAATCTAATAATAAATTTAAAAAATAAAGTGCATATTGCTGCTCCATCCCATCTACTTTATTCCTAAGAAATATGACAATAATACCAGATCAAAGTTATGAACATCAGACTGCAGGAACAGTAATTTTTATTATTGTAACCACAGCTAATACAAATATTGACATTCATATTAAATTGATACTAATGAGTGAAACAAAGAGCCCCAACTAATAATGTTACATATATAATTGCAGTAAATGAAGGGAAGGAGGGAATGAACGTAATAAAAATGCAGAATTTCCAAAACAGATCCATAAGTGATAGGAAGAGTCAGGAGTTCTGGGATCCAGGAGTAGGAAGGCAAAGAGGAGAGAGGAAGGTACTGAGGTTCAAGGAAAGATAATTAAGATAATGAGAAGCAGCAGTCCCAGCGAGAGAGAGAGAGAGAGAGAGAGTTGTGGGTTTGCTTGACAGCAATAAGCAATATCCCTTTGTGTCAGGCCTCTGCTGCAATATAGGACTATAATACTGATTGACCTTGCAGAATTCTTTGCAAGGACTGTTGAACAAAACTGCAATGCTTTGAATAACCAACAAGAGGTATGCCTTGTTCCTTTGTTAGGACTGTCACTGTCTCTTGGACATCGCACCTCATGCCATTGAGCGACTGCACAGCATTCACATCTACCCAATAGTCATCTTTGTTCGCTACAAAAATGCCAAGCAAATCAAGTAAGTGTGAAGTATGGGGTCATGTCGTTTGGGAATACCTTTCTCCTTCTCCCCATCAATCCTCAGTTTTAAAAAAAGATTAAGACTCTCATTTGCATTCGTGTGCCGTGTGGGGGATTGTTCCTAGTCATTCTTTCTAGCAATCTGATCTCGGAGCAAAGTGAATAAACCCAAGCACTCCGTTTGTTGTATATAACATATAAATAAGACACATGCCTAATCAGTTACAGTCCTTTGCCAGATCGAGAGACCCTTCAGGTGCCCGTTAGGACATGTAATTCTTGACATGAACCCAGATTAAGATAAAACATTGCCCATAGGCAAACATAGGGAAAGGTTTCCCTAGAGTTGACCTTGACTCTGGCTTACTACATGGGCATATCCATGTGGTTTTCTTGGTCACAACATGTGAGTGGCTTGCCATTGCCTTTGGGGATGTATTTTTGCACATTTCCAGCCTAGACTACAGCCATGGGAGTTCTTGGTAGTCTCCCATACAAGGATAAAGCAGAATAGTTTCAAAAGGAGGAAGGAGAAATGAAATCAAAAGCTCCATAAATGAGATGATTTTAGCGTTTACAAGAGGTAAGGAACAAAAATGAGATTGGACATGTGACATGGTAGTAAAATAGAACACTTCCGCTGGCAACCATTTCCACTTCTCAGTCCTTAAGAAAGACCTCCAAGCTGATCCATGGTCATCCTCTCTGCCATTAACCTCAAAACACTTAGAAGCAACAAGCCAGTCAGTTCTTCCTTCCAGCTGACCATTAGGGGAGGACGATGATCACTCCTCCTCAGTGTTCTGTCTCCCCTGTCCACTTCTTGATTTCATGTTGTGTGCATCTATGGGGAGAAACTGGCTTGAGCCCAGGAACTGCAAGTTAGGATGAATTAAGTTCCAGCAAACTGGCCCTTTGCATGGTCTGCAGAGCTGGAGAAGCTAGCAAAACCCTGGTGGAGCTTGCAGAAGCAAGCTAGATATGGAGGCAAAGATTTAAATGTATGTTTTCTAGTAATGCTTGTAAAAAAGAATAGAGGGGGTTAGCAGTTGGGGACTGTAGACATAACGGATTGATTATGAACCAGTCGTGGATACCTGCTGATGACAGCAAATTGCTTTGGGCATTGCGACTGTTGAAAGTCCTTGCTGTTCCTTCCACAGGCACTAGACTGTGCTCTCCTCACATCTTTATATTTGCTCATCAAGTAGCTTTTGCTGTAAATCTGCTCAGCTCCCTATGGTCTTTCATGGGTCCCCCAAAGAAATAAGCATTGAATAAGATATAGATTTATATGTACATATTTGTGTGTTTCAGAGAGCAAAAAGATCCTGTCTTCTTGAAAGACAAGGTGACGCAAAAACATTCCAAAGAACAATTTGAGACTGCTCAGAAGATAGAACAGGAATATAGCAAGTATTTCACAGGTTGGTAATTAAGAAAATAAACACTATGGAATAAACCAGGATTTTGTGTTGCCCCTGGGGCAAAAAGGGAAGTAGGTAGCTGTCCCTCACTTCATCTGCTGCATTTGAATAAATTACAATTAAATCAGCAGGAGAGAACAACCAGTTCCTTCCTGTCCCATGTAGCGGTTTGGGGTATCCAATTGCCACTGGCCCCATCTCCATCATTCCCAGAGTTTGTTCTATCACCTGTGTCTCTGTGGGTAAACAACAATTTAGGAAAAAATCTTCTTATATAAGGAAATGAGAAACATTCGAGAAAATTCTTGTAGCAGACATTTCAGTTAACTTTGTCCAGCTTGAAGCCAAGTTCACGGCCTCCAAGAAAATGGCCAGACAGAGCTTCTGAGTGGGGGAGATTTCGCCAGACCTCTGGTGAAAAACATAATATCACCAGAAGTCCAAATCCCACCACTCTTGTCAATGCTGCTAAGTAGCTACTGTGGTTGACAAAGTTCTAGAGAAGATTCATAATCTATTACTGGATACTAAACATCATCAGAATCAATGGGATTGCCTGGAATTAATAAGAATACAAAGATACACCAGATATTAATACATCTTGAAAATATGACTCTATTTGCTGTGGAGTTTTCAAATAGCTAAAGTGTTATTCTACCTTTAACTCAGAGATGAGAGTAAAGGTTGGAATTTAAGAGCGCATCTCTTGAAGAAATGAAATACTCATATCAATAGCAATATATTTTACATTTCAGTCTTGGGATAAATGTATTTGTGTATGGTAAGTAAGGATGTATTTTAGATGTGCCAATAGTGTAGAAGGCTGTTTAACTAGTAAGCCTTTCCACAGCTCAGAACTTTCTCAGTAAACACTTTTGCTGTATATGCCTTTTTCTACAAGTGATGAAACAATAAGTTAACCCTGATCAGGTTTTATACCTGGAATTTGCAGGTGTGTTGTTCTTATTTCTTCAGAAGAGTAGTGTGCCAGAATTAATTTAATTTCTTTTAAATTAAACCCTCCCATTGTAAGTGGTAACAGCAGAGCAGACTACAATTGAAAGAAAAGTAAATAGCTTTCATGCACATTCTGTATATGCACTAGCTATGTGTACATTTTCTTTAAAATGGATCTTTGGAAACAGGTTGTCTAAAATGTTTCCTTAATTCTTCCTTGGTTTGTGTTTCTTTGTTGAATAAACATCTGTTAAAAATGATATCACATACAGTTGCTTCATTAAGGAAAGTGCTGAAATCTTTTACATATTTTCTCCATATCAGTAAATAATATCAGTTTTGTTGCTGCCACCATCATCTCTGTTTATTGCTCCTTGTCTCCCTTGCTCAGCCTGAGGGTTTGCTGTTCTGTAACCACATCCTTCTAACCATATTTAAATTTAATGTCTAAATTTTATCACTCGATGCCACTGAAAATAGCTCCCAGAAAGCTTGGTGAGAAAACAGTTGTCTTAGGAAGTCTTCATTGTGGAACTTGATTATTTTTTGCTTGTGCTATTTATTTATTTATTTATTTATTTAAATTTGGCCACGTCCATAGCCCTCTGCATCTCCTCCCTTTTCCCTTTTTATCTGCCTGCTTTTCCCTCATGTCCCGTTTTGATCTCTGGGAGGGCTAATTAAGCCGTTCAGATAATTTTAAAAACAAGTGTCTAGCCCATGAGGTCACCAAGGTATGCTTAGGAAATGTTTTATTAAAAACTCAGGATCCAGAGTGGCTGTCATGTGAGGATGCTGGTGCTCAGAACGCGATGCTGTGTTAAACACACACAATGTTATTATGAAATGGCCAAAGACAAGCCATTTTTTCATCTCTTGAGTGGCACTTGTCTCAAGCAGCATGAACCTGTGAAAATGGAGGAAAAAAATCACTCAGACCTGGAGGAGAAGGAAGGGTGGGATACAACTGAACTTGAGTAAATGGCATAGAGTATCTACTACTTTTTAAAACTCAATGTGGTTTCTTGGAACTATTTCATTTATGCAGTTCTTCTTGTTTGCAAATGAACACAGATGGCTTCTCTCCTTATTTTCTTAGGTGTTGTCCAAGGAGGACCTCTTTCAATCATTTGCACTCAAATCATGACAACAGTGGATCAAGAACAGAGCAAAGTCTTGTGGATTCCTGCTGGCCCTCAATAGATCTATGCTGTGAAAATACTGTAACTGCAACAGATTGTACATAAACAGCTGATTGGGGGTGTCCATTTATAGTTGCCTATATGGTAGGTACAAAAGCGTCATGAGCAACATTATCTGTGAAGCGTGTTTGGAAGACACTAATTCATTGCTGGCAGCAGAATTCTTACATATTTGTCTCAGTACAGATGAGCAAATCCAGGATTTCTTTTTTTCAGAAGAAGACTTTGTGATGCTGCAAGAAAAAGAAAAAAAGAAACCCTTTAGATTACGTTTACAAAACCTTTGCCCTGCTCCCCAAGAATTTTGGGTTTGTGTTTACTTGAATTTTTTTTTTTAAAAAAACAAGCAATCGTTTTTGGGTTCTCCTCTGCTAACCCCCCCAGCTACCCCCACAAGAATGGTGTGAGAACTTTTTCATGAAGTGTGGGTCTGTCCTTCAGGAGCAGCCATTTTATGTCAGGATTACATGCATGGATTTTGATGAATGGGCTTCCCCACAGGTACTTCACGGGGAAGAAACCCTTCTCCATGGGCCAGGCCACTGTGTGTATGTCAAACGTTCTTTGTCCAAAGTTACTGGTTTCTTTTATGCATGAATTTTGATATTTAAACATCATGATGTACCCAATGTGCTCCTTGTCTCTTAATCATTGGGGGTTTGGGGCGCTGTATTAAACAGTAAATCAGAAGGGGTAATAAGTTAGGCCTAGACTGTTTATGTTACCATGTGTAGATAGTTTACGCAACAGGATGCTGACATTGTTCTTTGGAGTGAAATAGCCATAGGGATTTTTATTTAATTAGAAGCACAGTTCAGTTTTAGGGATCTGACAGCTTCTAGCGTGGTCTATAACTGTTAGTTTTACCACTGTCGGAAAAAAAATGTGTATGCTTTTGTTTTTTAATTTGTTAGAATTTGTATTTCCTGCCTGTATCAACTTCTACTGTATATTGCTTTTTCCCTTTCCTTTCTTTTTTCGCTTCAAACTTTCTTTTCCAACCATAATTTTATTATATTTTCCTTCATAGAATAATTGCATGTTTTACCTTGATTGCTAAAGTTTTGTTTAGAGTTGCATTTGTGGCTATTGTTCCTAACATTTCATTAGATAGATAGATTTTCATTCTGTTGGGTTTGCCAGTTTTGAATTTTTCCTTTTTTTATTTGCATTAATTAAAAAAAAAAGGGATTCTTCTTGCACAATGGCTCAAAAACAACATTTGATTGGAAATTATACCTTCTGTTTTACAGATGCTATTTTATAGTTCTGAATACCGGAGAGAAAGGAAAAATGTAGAAAGGTTATAACACATGGAGAGTGGAAATATTGTTTATAAGTTGAGGGACAGCAGTTCTATTTTTTTTAAAGAGGGAGGCCTGAGGTGGATTAGTGGTACGACTGAAAGAAGCCAATACTGTTCCAGCAGTAATTTTTCTGTACTAAAAATGTCACTTTATATCAAAACAAAAATAAAAGAAACTAAGTATTGTGTTAAATAAAGGTCAATTTCTATAATTGGAAGGGTATGGAAGTTTGTTGCTTGGTTATAGTTGAGTCTATTTTATTTATTTATTTATTTAAACAGTTTATGTAGCTGCACATCTCACAATAAAGTGACACAATGCAGGCGGCAAACACGGCTGTCAACCAAAATCAAAACACAATATATATCATAAGCAGAAAACCATTTGTTTTGTTATTTGTTTGTTCGTTTATTATAAACATGTATAGGCTGTCCCAATCTTTTACAACTTTAGGCACTTCACCAATAAATAAATAAATAAATAAATAAATAAATAAATAAATAAAAAAAATAAAACCAGTAGAAAATATAAAGGCATTCAAAGGTATTTTTCAGTTTATTACTCTAAGCCACTGGCTATTATAAACTTAAAATGATTGTGTATAAGAAGCTTTAAATTCATACTGAGGTGGACAAATGTTCAAGTATGTAACAGTTGTTTTTCATCTCAAAAAAATTTTTGTTCTACAGAAGTGAACGCCAAGTAAGTTTTATTTAAAGTCTGAGCCCAGGGCTGGTCTGAATAATATTCAGTGCCCTTCCCGCTGGGTCATTTTTTGCACGTTATAAAATGTCCTGCTCGAGGGATACAAGCAAAGTATTTTGCCACAGAGCACAGTTGGCTCCAAACGTATATCATCTATGGCAAGAGAAATATACTTTGAGGAAAGCAATCGCTCATCAGCGGAAAAAGCCAGAAAATAAAACTTTGAACAGGATGTAACGAATTAAAAAACGTTCACGCTTTGTTTGAATGGCTAAGGTTACGAAGACGACTATTGACTGCAAGAATGAACCAAATCAGTCCAAGACCAAGTGAAGACTGTCTGCTCCCTTGACATTACGATCAGCTGTGGGAAACTCATAGTTTTGGGCCTATAGTCCAAAACCATGATGGAATTTATGCTTAACAAGATTGAGGGGAGAAGATAGTGGTTAAAGTGGATAGACAGACTACAGAGATTACTTGGAAGAGCTGTAGATCGTCATGAATGGCAGGTCAAGATGACAAGTATTTGACCAGCATTGGGTTTGAGCCCAACTCAGTTGCACATACTTAATATTGGAATCAATCATTTGAAAAAAAAAATACTGTTACTTACCAAAAAAGAAAAAGTTACAAAATACCAAGGCTCATATGACCCTGTTTTTATCTGGATATTACACTACATAAAAATAAGAGAATGGGAAGGTGGGAGAGTGTACTTGGCGGAATACTTCTAGTGTAGTGTGATTTCAGAAATATATATGCGATTTTTTTTTAAAAAAAAATCTGCGCTCAGTCGTTGCCGACTCTGCAGTGACTGCTTGGACGAGTCCTTGCAGTTTTCAAGGCAA